ATTATTCTACTGCCATACGTTCAAATATAATGATAAAACTCACTCTTTAAAGAGAAAGAAATATCGCCTCTATTTGATAGTAGCGTACAAATAATTTCTGTATCACAGAGCTCCACAGCAATAAAACTCACAGCAAAGCAAGGTGTGTGTGGGTGTATCACAGAGCTCCACAGCAATAAAATTCACAGAGCTCCACAGCAATACAACTCCCAGCAAAGCAAGGTGTGTATGGGTGTATCACAGAGCTCCACAGCACTAAAACTCACAGCTGAATTCCACAGCAGTGAAACACATACCCTGGGTACAGATGAGCCCCCAAACAGCGGATTAGGACTCCTGAAACCCAGAGTTGTGACTTCACTTCTGAACTGCTAGACATGTTATAGGTGTTTCATTTTAATAAATATTAAACATGATGCAGTATAAATGTCCGTGTGTATGGAATATCAATATTTCCTTATAAATTCATATACACTGTATTTAACAACATATACATAGACATACATATCTATAAACGTGTTTGTATATGACATGATATAATGTGTCCATTTGTCTTTGTCACTGGGTCCCTCCTGTCACCAGAGCTGGAGGTTGACATTATCGCGCCCTTAATGCTATATATTGCCTTTAGATATTTGTAGCTGCCTGGCCTCGCTGTTTCTGTTATTGACATTATATTGCAGTTGTCCAATCTCTGTCCATTCCTCTTATCTCAGTAAATCATTAATCATCACATTTATCCTCACTGGAAGGACAACAGTATTGCAGATGAATGTGTCATCTACAAAAGGGCAGTCTATTTGTTATCTCACTAATAAAGGCATTAAATAAGTCCAGTGCCAGCACAAATCCCTCAGGTTTACTTTCAATGTACTTGTTTAGTCCGACTCTAAGCAAATATCCGTCAACCAAGTCCACTCACTGACCTTAGAGACCCAGAATAAACACCAAACCATGTTAAACTAAACTATTACATCCTATACTATAATATACCATAATATAATATCGTATACTGTAATATACCATAATACAATATCCTATACTGTAATATACCATAATATAATATCCTCTGCTATAATATACCATAATACAATATCGTATACTGTACTCAAATATCCTGTACTACAATATACTATGCTAAGATATATTATAATATAATATCCTATACTATAATACATTGTACAACAATATACTATGCTAAGATATATTATAATATAATATCCTATACTATAATACATTGTACAACAATATACTATGCTAAGATATATTATAATATAATATCCTATACTATAATACATTGTACAACAATATACTATGCTAAAATATATCATAATATTATGTTATTACTTTACCATGCTATAATATACTACTCTAAACTATACCAATACTATGATATACTGTACTACAGTATACTATGCTAAAATTTATCATAATATAATACCCTATACTAAAATATACTACACGTGACTATACCATGCTATAATATAACTATAACATACTACAATAAACTATGCTAGACTGTACAATACTGTAATATAACTATACCATGCTATACTATACTACATGTAGCTAAACCATGCTATAAATATGATATAACTATACTTTACTATAATATACTACGCTGAACTATACCATGCTATAATATAACTATACCATACTATAATACAACTATGCCGTACTTTAATATACTTCTCTAAACTATAATACACAATGCTAAACTTTACCATACTATAACTTTACCTTGCTATAAATATAATATAACTATACCTTACTATAATATACTACGCTGAACTATACCATGCTATAATATAACTATATCATACTATAATATACTACTCTAAACTATACCATACTATAATATAACTATGCCGTACTTTAATATACTTCTCTAAACTATAATACACAATGCTAAACTTTACCATACTATAACTTTACCTTGCTATAAATATAATATAACTATACCTTACTATAATATACTACGCTGAACTATACCATGCTATAATATAACTATATCATACTATAATATACTACTCTAAACTATACCATACTATAATATAACTATATCATACTGTAATATACTACTCTAAACTATACCATACTATAATATAACTATATCATACTGTAATATACTACTCTAAACTATACCATACTATAATATAACTATATCATACTGTAATATACTACTCTAAACTATACCATACTATAATATAACTATATCATGCTGTAATATACTACTCTAAATTATACTGTACTGTAATATAACATACTATAATATACTATGCTAAACTATACCATGCTGTAATATATCATATCATAATATACTATACTAATCTTTACCATATTATAACTTTACCATGCTATAATATAACTATACCATGCTATAATATACTATGCTAAACTATACCATACTGTAATATACTACAACTAAACCATACTGTAATATACCATACTATTATATACTACACTAAACTATACCATATTGTAATATACCATACTATAATATAACTATATCATATTATAATATACTATGATAAACAATACCATACTGTAATATGCCATGCTATAATATAACTATATCATATTATAATATACTATGATAAACAATACCATACTGTAATATGCCATGCTATAATATAACTATATCATATTATAATATACTATGATAAACAATACCATACTGTAATATGCCATGCTATAATATAACTATATCATATTATAATATACTATGATAAACAATACCATACTGTAATATACCATGCTATAATATAACTATATCATATTATAATATACTATGATAAACTATACCATACTGTAATATACCATACTATAATGTAATACGCTAGACTATACTACACTCTAATATACTATACCATACTGTAATATACCATACTATTATATACTACACTAAACTATACCATACTACAATATGCCATGCTATAATATAACTATATCATATTATAATATACTATGATAAACAATACCATACTGTAATATGCCATGCTATAATATAACTATATCATATTATAATATACTATGATAAACAATACCATACTGTAATATACCATGCTATAATATAACTATATCATATTATACTAGAAAAGCTACAATTTCTGGGGAAATTGTGTGAAGTGTTCTTGCCTCCACCAGTGGTCTACAACTGGAGTGGGTGGAGTAACTGGTTGGAGTGGCTGGAGTAACTGTTGTGTGGTTGGAGTGGCTGGAGTAACTGTGGACTAGGCAGAGTAACTTTATGGAGTTGGAAGAGTAACTGTGTGGAGCATTACACCAACCAATTGACTGATCAAATTTAAAAAGTGCACATAGCGAGCTTGATAGAGTGAGAAATGCATTTCAACTTTTATTTATTTATATAGCACATTTAATTGCAACGTTGTTGCCCAAAGTGCTTCACAGTTACATTAAAACATACATTTATAAAAACATTGGCAGGTGTACAAAAGGCCCTGTCTATGACATCACTTGCTGCTGCAGCCTGGCACAGGTCAGAGTATTTTGGCGGTTGCCATTTTCAAACGGTCGTTTTTAAAAACTATACATCCTACAGCGAAGAGCTTTATATTGTGAGAATCACAAGACCCAGACCTACATTTTGATGCATAGTATGTCTCTGAAGTATTAACAATGAAGGCACAATCGCAGTTTAGAAATTGCCCTTCAAATTTAGGCTGGCTAGAGTGGAGTTTCAATGAATGTCAATGGATGGCGTGAGTTGCAAACAAATGGTCATATTGTGAAAACTATAAGGACTATGGCTTAGCCGTGGACATGTTTAGTGGCAGCAGGGATAGCTAAACGTTTTGATATAAGATTTGTGTAGGTGGGCTTGAAAATGAGGGAGTGGTGGCAGATTAGAAATCATGTCCTGATTTTTCAGCTTTTGCCAGCTCCCACTCTAGTTTTGAACATTTTGCCATTCATTCCTATGGGACCAATTTCGCCCCAAGAACGACGATATTCCGTGAACCATTCGGCAAAACGTTCCACAAAGTAATCCAATCGGGAACCATCCACCCGTTTCGGTATATTACTGTCAATGTAGTGTAAAAACTGTTGGAGGAGTTAGGGTGGTAAATTTGGCTATAATAATAATAAGAATAATAATAATATATATGTGAGATAACATTAAGTGGTCTTGCTATGCAAGAACACTTAAATATACTTTGATAAACTATACCATACTGTAATATACCATGCTATAATATAATACGATAAACTATACCATACTGTAATATACCATGCTATAATATAACTATATCATATGATAATATACTTCGATCAACTATATGATACTATAATATGATGTACTAAACCATACTACAGTATAATATACTGTGATACAATATAGTATATAATGGGAGATTTAAAAAAATGAATAATAAATTATATATACAGCACAATGTAATGTAATTGAGTCAGTCACATAATACTTCAGTTTCAGAAGCCAGAGTAAGTGCAGGAGTTGTCCATGGCAGAGATTATGCTACTCCAACGGCCATGCAACGTTATTGTAACAGCAATACAGCCTCCCCCTAAAAAAATAGCAATTATTGTAATGTAATACACATACAGCCCTTCAGAGCTAGGTGAAACAACTTTGACTACTTACCACTGGACAAACCCCAGGCCACTTCTGGCACCATAACCACTACAGCAGGTTGTAGTGACTATGGTGTTTGTAAAGTTCCTTTACACGTTGCCAATGGTTCTGACTCCATAGACCATATTGAGAGGGTCCTGATTGGCTAAGCTGCTTCCTGGCATGAGCAACACAAAGACTGATGGCGCCAAAATTGGACTTTAAAAGTATGTATACGTTTGGATATTTTTACCACATTATTTATACAACACATTTAAAAATAAAGTGCCAGTTCCAGCTCATTATGATCAAAATAAAACCGAATCACTGAACTTATCAGGAGACACTAATGTCTTAATGTCTTAATGCAATTCTTAGCTGTTTGTACACAAGACACGTAAAATCACTGCAAGACCACATGACAAGGTGTCATCGCTGTTGTCAGTGCTGGTTTCACTGTTGGCGTCAGGGCTGGTGTCACTGCTGGTTTCACTATTGGTGTCACAGTTGGTGTCAGTGCTGGTTTCACTGCTGGTGTCACTGCTGGTGTCACGGTTGGTGCCACGGTTGGTGTAACCGCTGGTGTCACTGTTGGTGTAACTGCTGGTGTTAATGTTTCTGTCACTGCTGGTATCACAGTTGGTCTCACTGCTGGTTTTACTGTTGGTGTCAGTGCTGGTGTCACTGTTGGTGTCAGTGCTGGTGTCAGTGCTGGTGTCAATGTTGGTGTCAGTGCTGGTGTCAGTGCTAGTGTCACTGTTGGTGTCAGTGCTGGTGTCAATGTTGGTGTCAGTGCTGGTGTCAGTGCTGGTGTCAATGTTGGTGTCAGTGCTGGTGTCACTGTTGGTGTCAGTGCTGGTGTCACTGCTGGTGTCAATGTTGGTGTCAGTGCTGGTTGTCACGGTTATTGTCAGTGCTGGTGTCAGTGCTGGTATCAGTGCTGGTGTCAATGTTGGTGTCAGTGCTGGTGTCAGTGTTGGTGTCAGTGTTGGTGTCACTGTTGTCACTGCTGGTGTCACTGTTGGTGTCAGTGCTGGTGTCAATGTTGGTGTCAGTGCTGGTGTCACTGTTGGTGTCAATGTTGGTGTCAGTGCTGGTGTCACGGTTATTGTCAGTGCTGGTGTCAATGTTGGTGTCAGTGCTGGTGTCAATGTTGGTGTCACTGTTGTCACTGTTGGTGTCACTGTTGGTGTCAGTGCTGGTGTCAATGTTGGTGTCAGTGCTGGTGTCACTGTTGGTGTCAATGTTGGTGTCAGTGTTGGTGTCAGTGCTGGTGTCACTGTTGGTGTCACTGCTGGTGTCTGTGCTGGTGTCACTGTTGGTGTCACTGCTGGTGTCTGTGCTGGTGTCACTGTTGGTGTCACTGCTGATGTCAATGTTGGTGTCACTGTTGGTGTCAGTGCTGGTGTCGGTGTTGGTGTCGCTGCTGGTGTCACTGTTGGTGTCAGTGCTTGTGTCACTGCTGGTGTCAATGTTGGTGTCAGTGCTGGTGTCACTGTTGGTGTCAGTGCTGGTGTCACGGTTATTGTCAGTGCTGGTGTCAGTGCTGGTATCAGTGCTGGTGTCAATGTTGGTGTCAGTGCTGGTGTCAGTGTTGGTGTCAGTGTTGGTGTCACTGTTGTCACTGCTGGTGTCACTGTTGGTGTCAGTGCTGGTGTCAATGTTGGTGTCAGTGCTGGTGTCACTGTTGGTGTCAATGTTGGTGTCAGTGCTGGTGTCACGGTTATTGTCAGTGCTGGTGTCAATGTTGGTGTCAGTGCTGGTGTCAATGTTGGTGTCACTGTTGTCACTGTTGGTGTCACTGTTGGTGTCAGTGCTGGTGTCAATGTTGGTGTCAGTGCTGGTGTCACTGTTGGTGTCAGTGTTGGTGTCAGTGTTGGTGTCAGTGCTGGTGTCACTGTTGGTGTCACTGCTGGTGTCTGTGCTGGTGTCACTGTTGGTGTCACTGCTGGTGTCTGTGCTGGTGTCACTGTTGGTGTCACTGCTGATGTCAATGTTGGTGTCACTGTTGGTGTCAGTGCTGGTGTCGGTGTTGGTGTCGCTGCTGGTGTCACTGTTGGTGTCAGTGCTTGTGTCACTGTTGGTGTCACTGTTGGTGTCACTGTTGGTGCCTGTGCTTGTGTCACTGTTGGTGTCACTGCTGATGTCAATGTTGGTGTCACTGTTGGTGTCACTGTTGGTGTCTGTGCTTGTGTCACTGTTGGTGTCACTGTTGGTGTCACTGTTGGTGTCACTGTTGGTGTCACTGCTGGTGTCACTGTTGGTGTCAGTGCTTGTGTCACTGTTGGTGTCAGTGCTTGTGTCACTGTTGGTGTCACTGTTGGTGTCACTGTTGGTGTCAGTGCTTGTGTCACTGTTGGTGTCACTGTTGGTGTCACTGCTGGTGTCACTGTTGGTGTCAGTGCTGGTGTCACTGTTGGTGTCAGTGCTTGTGTCACTGTTGGTGTCAGTGCTTGTGTCACTGTTGGTGTCAGTGCTGGTGTCACGGTTATTGTCAGTGCTGGTGTCAGTGCTGGTATCAGTGCTGGTGTCAATGTTGGTGTCAGTGCTGGTGTCAGTGTTGGTGTCAGTGTTGGTGTCACTGTTGTCACTGCTGGTGTCACTGTTGGTGTCAGTGCTGGTGTCAATGTTGGTGTCAGTGCTGGTGTCACTGTTGGTGTCAATGTTGGTGTCAGTGCTGGTGTCACGGTTATTGTCAGTGCTGGTGTCAATGTTGGTGTCAGTGCTGGTGTCAATGTTGGTGTCACTGTTGTCACTGTTGGTGTCACTGTTGGTGTCAGTGCTGGTGTCAATGTTGGTGTCAGTGCTGGTGTCACTGTTGGTGTCAATGTTGGTGTCAGTGTTGGTGTCAGTGCTGGTGTCACTGTTGGTGTCACTGCTGGTGTCTGTGCTGGTGTCACTGTTGGTGTCACTGCTGGTGTCTGTGCTGGTGTCACTGTTGGTGTCACTGCTGGTGTCAATGTTGGTGTCACTGTTGGTGTCAGTGCTGGTGTCGGTGTTGGTGTCGCTGCTGGTGTCACTGTTGGTGTCAGTGCTTGTGTCACTGCTGGTGTCAATGTTGGTGTCAGTGCTGGTGTCACTGTTGGTGTCAGTGCTGGTGTCACGGTTATTGTCAGTGCTGGTGTCAGTGCTGGTATCAGTGCTGGTGTCAATGTTGGTGTCAGTGCTGGTGTCAGTGTTGGTGTCAGTGTTGGTGTCACTGTTGTCACTGCTGGTGTCACTGTTGGTGTCAGTGCTGGTGTCAATGTTGGTGTCAGTGCTGGTGTCACTGTTGGTGTCAGTGCTGGTGCTGGTGTCACGTTATTGTCAGTGCTGGCGTGTTGGTGTCAGTGCTGGTGTCATGTTGGTGTCACTGTTGTCACTGTTGGTGTCACTGTTGGTGTCAGTGCTGGTGTCAATGTTGGTGTCAGTGCTGGTGTCACTGTTGGTGTCAATGTTGGTGTCAGTGTTGGTGTCAGTGCTGGTGTCACTGTTGGTGTCACTGCTGGTGTCTGTGCTGGTGTCACTGTTGGTGTCACTGCTGGTGTCTGTGCTGGTGTCACTGTTGGTGTCACTGCTGATGTCAATGTTGGTGTCACTGTTGGTGTCAGTGCTGGTGTCGGTGTTGGTGTCGCTGCTGGTGTCACTGTTGGTGTCAGTGCTTGTGTCACTGTTGGTGTCACTGTTGGTGTCACTGTTGGTGCACTGTCTTGTGTCACTGTTGGTGTCACTGCTGATGTCAATGTTGGTGTCACTGTTGGTGTCACTGTTGGTGTCTGTGCTTGTGTCACTGTTGGTGTCACTGTTGGTGTCACTGTTGGTGTCACTGTTGGTGTCATGCTGGTGTCACTGTTGGTGTCGTGCTGGTGTCACTGTTGGTGTCAGTGCTTGTGTCACTGTTGGTGTCACTGTTGGTGTCACTGTTGGTGCCTGTGCTTGTGTCACTGTTGGTGTCACTGCTGATGTCAATGTTGGTGTCACTGTTGGTGTCACTGTTGGTGTCTGTGCTTGTGTCACTGTTGGTGTCACTGTTGGTGTCACTGTTGGTGTCACTGTTGGTGTCACTGCTGGTGTCACTGTTGGTGTCAGTGCTTGTGTCACTGTTGGTGTCAGTGCTTGTGTCACTGTTGGTGTCACTGTTGGTGTCACTGTTGGTGTCAGTGCTTGTGTCACTGTTGGTGTCACTGTTGGTGTCACTGCTGGTGTCACTGTTGGTGTCAGTGCTGGTGTCACGGTTGGTGTTGGTTTTCTGTTTGGAAGAATTTGTCAGAAACCTCCGCTGTCCCTGGCCACTGTAGTCTGCTCCTGTCTAACTGCCGCCATCATTTGGAAATGACACTTTCTTCTTGTCAAGTGTAACTCTGTCTAATGCTTGGACAGCAATGATAAGATAATAAGTGATGTTTACAGTGTTTGTTACACCAACTCCAAAATGGCTTTACAGATACACAATGTCTAAAGACTCATAGAGCTGGATCTCCTACAAAGAGCTGTAATTATACAATAAGCTGCAATAAAACAATGGCTGGTAGTGGTTATGGTGCTTAAAGTGCACCTTTAAAGTTTTAAAATGTAATTTCTCAGATTAAACTTGTTGCTGATTATAGAAACATTTGCTTTATTTTTAACTCTATCCACTCCTTTACCTCACGCTCTGTTCTCTCACTGTCTCTCTGATTTTCTCTCACTGACTTTCTGTCTCATTCTCTGTTTCTTTTTCCTTATTTCTGTCTCTCTCTCTCTCTGTCTTTGTCTACTCCTCTTGCTGTCTTCTTTATAACTCTTTCATTTTCCCTGGTTCTCTCTCTGTCTCTTTCTCCGTGTTTTTTCCTCAGTCTCTTTACCTGTCTTTCTCTCTCTCTAGCTGTCTTTCTGTCTCTCTCTGTTGCTAAATTTCTTTCTATCTCTGTCTCTCTCTCTCTCTTTGTTGCTCTCTCTCTCTCTGTTGCTGAACATCTTTCTTTCTCTATCTCTCTCTGTTGGACTATGTCTGTCTCTATTGCTGAATGTCTTTTTCTCTCTGTCTGTCTGTTTATGTTGCTGAATCTCTTTCTTTCTCTTTCTCTCGCTGTCTCTCTCCTCTCTCTGTTGGACTATGTCTGTCTCTGTTGCTGAATCTCTTTCTTTCTCTCTCTCTCTCTCTCTCTGTTACTATATGTCTTTCTCTCTCTGTCTTTTCTCTGTTGCTCTCTGTCTGTCTATGTTGCTGAATGTCTTTCTCTCAGTCTCTTGCTGCCTGTCGCTCTCTCTGAGCTGTTTAATTACTGCACATAAGATCTGAAAGCATTTTAAAGTATTTCAGCAGGTCTATGCCTTGCTCACAAAGCAGATTGGATGTCTGTGTCTAGAAACCCTGTGTAGACTGTCTCGTTCTGTACTCAGATAGAGCCATTGCCCATCCTGGTGAATGTGAGCAGGATCAGGCTGTGTTATTGTCTCAGACACAATGCAGGTAGTGCTGTACTGAGCCCCTACTATTATTCAGTGTGGGGTACATGTGGTGCTGTGTGTGCTGCTGATACCTGACCCATTAGAGATGAATGATGCACAGGGTACGTGGGGCTAGTAACTGCCTAGTGGTAACGGAAACATCACAGAAAGGTGAAGACGCTTTCTCTCACTATTCTGTCTCCTCTCTTCCTCTCTAACCTGGCTCTGGATTGCGGACGTGCAGAGCATTATGCATGCAGAGCATCACTAGAACAAGCCCCGTGGGGCAGCGTGTTGTAAGGAAAGCTGGAGAGATAAAGCCCTGGAAGATCGCTGCCTACACTCAGTGTATATCATTGTTTGGCATTAAAATTTAACTGATGATGAATTAATTGTTCGGGGAAGATCTGATCTTTCGAGCTTGCTTGCTGCTCTGGCACCCCGGCATGGCGTTTCTATAGCAACACACTGGCTTGGGCGCACAGTAAGGTGGCATTCAGAAAGTTAATGGACAGAGTTTGGCACACTTCACTGCCACTCTGCCCAGAGGTGCGCAGGGTGTTCCCCTACCGCTACTGCGCAGGTAGCATGGTCTAGTTACGGTCTCACAAACCCCTGGTATCCTCAGTACTGTCACTGCTGTTATATTGTATCTGTAAATAATAATGTGATAAAAAAATAAAAACAACGAGTCAGCACTGTCTAGCAACAAAGGACAGAAAGAGGCAGCACACCTCTGTAAATGGGGTTCCCTCAGACCCCAAAGAAGAATAGAAATATACAATAAAAGAAAAACGGTAATTAATATACTGCTAAAGGTAAAAATACATATAAGATATATATTAATAAATAAAAACTTAAATATAAATAAATAAAATATAAACAAAAAATAGCAGATATAGACGTTCACAGTAATGTCCAATAAATAGAAAGTGCAAAGACTGACCAATAAAATATACAAATAAAACTTGCAAGGAAAAGTAATTGCCAGATCATGCCAGGAAGATTCTTCTATGGAAGTGCCAGATCAGGATTTTCTTGGGATCTGTATATAAAAAAGAGAAAAACAACGAATAGTGCAATATATCACAACAGAACGTGGTTCTAGGTCTTATGTAGTCCTACTCAAGCTTATAAGGCTAAAACCAGCTCTAGTATGGATAGCGTACAATGGTATAATCCTCACTTATGGGATAAGTGAAGTGATGTCACAGCGATGTGAAGACCATACAAATAAAAAGAAACAGCAATAGTGCTCACTGTACATAAAGGAGTATTAAATAACAGTCGAATAGTTACATTTAGTTGAGCAGGCAAGCCGCTAAATAAATAGGGCGCGAGTGGTATAATCCCTTCTTGGATTCTTTAGTGTAGTCCTCACTGGAACAGTAAAATTGGATGCCGAGCAATAAAGTATAAAATAATAAAATAACAGCAGTATAACAGGGAAATGGCACACTCACAATCTGGAAGTAGCCAAAATACCTTTATTAAAATAGCAATAATATACACAACGCGTTTCACCACACAGGGCTTTATCAAGTGGAAATGTGATTAATGCCCAGATCCTATCAATAGAACTTCTTTCACTATATCTACTTAAAGGTTGTGGATAATATCAGTAGTAGATTGCTTTGGTCTGCCCCCCTAAAAGTACCTCATTTCCTAGATACCATCAAACTTACCTCCCATCGGTCCGATATCCGGCAGGACCGTTCCAGTTTAGGACCTATGCATCCCATAATATTATTTTATCTAGAGTCTCGTTCGTAGGGAACCTTCAAAACATGTACAGGAAATGCACAAACTTGGTCAATTGTTATTAAAAGGACAATATAGTGCATTCCTACCCCTGTCCAAACATGTCCGCAGCTCTGATTGGTTGTCCCACTGTTTTAATAAAACATAGTTTTTTAGGCCAGAATAACTTTGCTGGCACAGTTTCCCTCTTAAAAAAAAAGAGCTCACCTAAGGCCAATTCTCACTGCAGCGGCAGGAATGTACAGCGTTTATTAACAAATCTCTGCTCATACAGGCTCCTAGTACAATCAGCCCCCCAAATTACCAAAAGTGGCCATGGTGCCTGGAGTTAAACTTTAAGCACTATTGGGGCTGTATGTTACATCATTGCTCCCCCACACTCTGGTCCCTCTTTTCGCCTGTTCCACTGATGAGCATTGGACACGAGACACAAGAGATAAACAGTAGCAACAGTATAAAAGATTTAAATCAAATATTTTAAAGTTGATTTATCACTACCCTCACCTGTAACTAACTCCCCACAAGGTTTACATCACTCTTTTCTTGCTCAGTTTTTCATTAGACGTCTTGGGATTTCAAAATACCTTCTATGCCTAATTAGCCTAATAATATCTTAATGAATGAAACAAATTAGTGAGGCTTTTAATTACCAACGAGAAATAGAAACTTGTACACTATAAATAGTCTAAAACCTATAGAAAGGGCAAAACAGTAAATATAATAAAAGAGAATTGTCACATCTTCATTGCATAACCCGATAACTAATTAAAACTTATCTATGGAATGTGCTATTTTTTATTCTCAGCCATGTTTACATTTTCATTTACATTGTAGGCCGGACACATTCAGAGCATACCAGACAAATTCATTTAAACTGCCACGGTGCTGAACACATGGGCGCATGTGGTCCCACGGCATAGCGGGTGGAATGCCCAAGGCAATTATCTACAAATCCCCGAGCACGCATGAGCACGTCCGAAGCGTGATAGGCTATTGATGTCACCCTGTACATGGTAAAGCTGAGAAGGTAATTGTGTTTTTCACTTACCCCCACTTCACTACTCACCCCAATTAGTACTTCAATAACTTTTACAATAGAGAGAAATTGAAGAGCGGTCACAGACAGAAAACTGCTGAGGGAGCGAAACTTCACAATGTCTTAGAAGGACTAA